CTCCTCAGTCGCCGAAACGACGATTTCCCGTGTTAAATTTATTTATAATTAAATGCGTTTTTAATTTATCTGTTCTTTCTGGGATGTACTATAACGTATCGTATCGTATGTTCCAGGTTCTTTACACTTAAACGTCGTATTGGTCGGATACAGTTACTCGTATTTTCTTCGAAAGTGTCTATTTACAGACGTAAAGAAGACAGTTCGCTAGGACATTCATGTTGATTCAATTAAGTATTAAAGTTTAACCCGCTGGCCCGCCAGCCCGCCCAGTTCACACTGCTAGGCCGCTACACTGTTAGCCCGCTCACTTCACACTGCTAGGAAATGTATCATGAGGTTTTAATGTTGACTCAATAAAGTATTAAAGTTTAGGCCGCTGGCCCACCAGCCCGCCCTGTTCACACTGCTAGGCCACTAACACTGTTAGCCCGCCCACTTCACACTGCCAGGTAATGTATCATAACGTTTTCATGTTCAATCAGTAAAGTTTAAGAATTTAGGCCGCTGGCCCGCCAGGACGCCCATTTCACACTGCTTGGCCGCTACACTGTTAGCCCGCCAAATTCACACTGCTAGGAAATGTATCATGAGGTTTTCATGTTGATTCAATTAAGTATTAAAGTTAATCCCGCTGGCCCGCCAGCCCGCCCTATTCACACTGCTAGACCGCTACACTGTTAGCCCGCCCACTTCACACTGCCAGGTAATGTATCATAACGTTTTCATGTTCAATCAGTTAAGTTTATGAGTTTAACCCCCTGGCCCGCCAGCCCGCCCATTTCACACTGCTACACCGCTACACTGTTAGCCCGCCAAATTAACTATTAACAATTAACAATTAAGTATCAAAGTTTAGCCCGCTGGCCCGCTAGCCCGCTCAGTTCACACTGCTAGGCCGCTACACTGTCAGCCCGCCCACTTCACAATGCTAGGAAATGTTTCATGACATTTTCATGTTGATTCAATTAAGTATTAAAGTTTAGCCCGCTGGCCCGCCAAACCGTTCAGTTCACACTGCTAGACCGCTACACTGTTAGCCCGCCCACTTCACATTGCTATGAAATGTATCATGAGGTTTTAATGTTGATTCAATTAAGTATTAAAGTTTAGCCCGCTGGACCACCAACCCGCTCAGTTCACACTGCTAGACCGCTACACTTTTAGCCCTCCCACTTCAAACCGCTAGGAAATGTATCATAACGTTTTCATGTTGATTCAATTAAGTATTGAAGTTAAGCCCGCTGGCGCGCCAGCCCGCTCAGTTCACACTGCTAGCCCGCTACACTGTAAGCCCGCCCACTTCACACTGCTAGGATATGTATCATAACGTTTTCATGTTGAATCAGTTAAGTTTTAGAGTTTAGTCCGCTGGACCGCCAGCCCGCCCAGTTCACACTGCTAGACCGCTAGACTGCTAGCCCGCCCAGTTTACACTGTAAGCCCGCTAGACTGCTATCCCGCCCAGTTCACACTGTTAAACCGCTAGACTGCTAGGCCGCTCAGTTCACACTGTTAACCCGCTAGACTGCTAGCCCGTTACCCCGCGTACTTCATGGCCATTATTCTAACTGCCTCAAACAGGACACCATAGAAAATGACTGAAAGTTGTAGCCATGAATCAAATCAATTGGATGGCCATTTCCAGGAACAAAGTTACTGTTGATTTTAGCATTGACGAAACTAACAATAGTCACAGGTGGCAGTATCAGTGTTTGGACACCCCACCCCTATCTGCCCCTGGACCCCTACTACAACCCTGAAAAAAAAAATTCAACACTCTAAGGCTTACTATAAGGTACCAAATACAAAACCACCGATGAAATTATATATAAAAATTTTTTTTCCACTATCAAAATTATAGTTATAGAAAGGTGAAAAGCCTACTATATGTTCATTTGCCAAACAATGTGGAACACGGGAAATCGTCGTTTCGGCGACTGAGGCGCATTCCGGCGGGATTTCGCTGCATCATTCATTAACATCAATAAAAAGAACTAGAATTCCACAGCTTATCTAATTCAAGTCCAACGAATATCAATATTCTATCGATTTTTTCTATTTCACGGTATTTTTTTACTTGTCGTTGCCATTTTGGATTCTGATACCTGTGTGTTATACGCGATCTGATTGGACGTCCAATTTGGCTCGTCCAATCAGATCGCGTATTTCAACCCAGGTATCAGACTGCAAAATGGCTACGACAATTCAAAAAATACCGTGAAACAGAAAAAATCGGAATGATAGTGATATTCGTTGGACTTGAATTAGATAAGCTGTGGAATTCTAGTTCTTTTTATTGATGTTAATGAATGATGCAGCGAAATCCCGCCGGAATGCTCCTCAGTCGCCGAAACGACGATTTCCCGTGTTCCACATTGTTTGGCAAATGAACATATAGTAGGCTTTTCACCTTTCTATAACTACAATTTTGATAGTGGAAAAAAAAATTTGTTTATATAATTTCATCGGTGGTTTTGTATTTGGTACCTTATAGTAAGCCTTAGAGTGTTGAATTATTTTTTTTTCAGGGTTGTAGTAGGGGACCAGGGGCAGATAGGGGCGGGGTGTCCAAACACTGATACTGCCACCTGTGACAATAGTTCGTTGGATGATGCTAAAACTCTTTTTTTTTTTTTTTGGTATATAAAAAAACAACAACATAAACATGACATTTACTGTCCCATCCCAACTCACCAAAAAATAATCGGCCATTTCCAGCTGAACATTGTGTTAAGCTAAGCTCGTAAATAAGGAAACTTACCAAATTTGGGGTCGAAAACGTTATCCATTTATCCATTTATTTTTGACGCAAAACATGTTCAGAGACGGTTTCAATGTTGAATGACATCAATGGCAGCCATTTTAACAATTGTATTCGCACGGAATTTTCGTGCACTTATTTCAATCGGACACAATTCAATTTATTTATGATAAACAATGTTTCACTGCCCTAAGCTTAAAGGCCATGCAACTATTTTCTATTGTTTTATATTTTCAACGTGAACATACATTTAATTTCAGTTAGATTTATTTATAATTAAATGCGTTTTTTAATTTATCTGTTCTCTACACTTAAACGTCGTATTGGTCGGATACAGTTACTCGTATTTTCTTCGAAAGTGTCTATTTACAGACGTAAAGAAGACAGTTCGCTAGGACAAACAACAATAATTTATCCTCGGCTTCGCCTCGGACAATTTGTTGTTTATTCTAGCAAACTGTTTAGAAGACACTTTCGAAGAAAAACTCGTACTGTATCCATTTCATAAATAAATTTCTGGGATTAAAATATTTTACTCAAGGATGACCTTAGCACATCTTTAAATTTCAGATACCTAAGTTCTGTTTAACCATGCCTTCTACACATTATAAGTTCTATACAGATTATTTTACGCTGTTTTAACGACCAAGTTATAGATTTTGTCAAACATTAGTGAAAACCACCACTTTCAACTTCGCCCACTTTCTCGTTTACTCATGCGCATGAAAATAGCGAAAAGCAAACAAAAACCGAACTTATCTGGTTATCAGTTATATTAACAGTTTATTTCCTAATTCGTTTCTCTCAACCGGAAATAAATCATTTACCATCTAATAAGGTTAATCAACTGTGAGAAAAGATAACAAAACACAAAATTCTATTTAAGAATTGTCTTGTGCATTGTGTTATACAATAATATATCGAACACAAATTTTGTATATCAAATTCAACTAAATAATTTCATGATAAACTTATTAAACAAGCATACATTATTATCATTTATCAGCAGTACAATCCATTCACAATATCAGCAGTACAATCCATTCACAATATTTTGAACAATAAAGTAGCATAAAGTTGTAAAATTCTACATTAAATAAATATGTAAAGATAGTTTGCCATCGGCCTAAATACCAAGCATTCTACAGATTCATTAACCTTTTTAACAGTATTGTTGTAAATCTCATCAAATATTGTTCATAAATAAGGATTTTAGTCATGTTTGTTGATTTAATATTGATGTACGGATGATCTGGAGGCGGAGTTTCTCATGCAACAAGATATTGTACTTCCAATTTCGCCACAATGAGGTTGTCCTTTTTTTATGCTTATAAAACTTGGACACCGAAATAAGATCTGGAGTCGATATGAAACCCAATTTATTAATGAAATGTTGCTATTTCTGTTTTTATGAAATTTATTAAATGTAACTTTAAAGGATATATTAAATTAATTGAGCTTTCAAAAAAACGATTGCTGCAGAGAAAAACAAATGTTTATGAGAGCATTTAAACAAAATAATATAGAAATCAAAAAATCTACAGCATATTTGTAAAATAAAACCTGAAAAATAATTAAAGGCCCAGTAAGCCACAGAAATGCTTTCATAAATTTTGTTACTGATAAACTTTAATATTAGCGTCCTGATATACTTTCCAGAAAGTTTAAGACCAATAAATTAACATGTCAGGTAATGAACATTTAACATGCCCTAAAAACTGTAATATAAACACTGATATTCAAGATTGCCCATTCTAAACAACGAATAAATAATACGTTTCTGCATCGTGATGTACCTTTAACAAATCCTAACAGCTAACTATGAACAAATCATTTTCTTTCAAAATAAACATTTAAAATCCTTTATGCTAAAAAACGGATGGGTGGGCTGGGAAACGTAATGTATGTGTTATCTGCAAAATGCAAAAGACTTCGAATGAGGAAAAAATCTTAACAACGATTATCAATACTTTACAACGCACGGAAAATCCGTGCAAAACTGAATACCATAAATACTACAACCTTAAAGAGTGATACTCACTAAAACTAGATGATTTACTTTAACCTATTGATAAATATATTTATTTCCTAATTCGTTTCTCTCAACCGGAAATAAATCATTTACCATCTAATAAGGTAAATCAACTCTGAGAAAAAGATAACAAAAACAACAAAATGCTATTTAGGAATTGTCTTGTGCATTGTGTTATACAATAATAATATCGACCAACAAAGAACGGTACATAAAATAATAATTTATAAAGCATTGCATTGAAATGCCAGACAAATGATTAAATTCCCAAAGATTTCGAAACAAGTAATCTTTTATCAATATCATCTTTAACATAGCCATCTTTAGCTCGATCACTTTTCCCTCGACCATGCCGCTTAAATAAACGATCAGGAAAACCCATCACCACCAGATCTTAAACTATGCAGCCCAAAAAGCTGTTTGTTTAAACTAATTGACTCTAGCATGTTAAGCAAATTCTCTCTAGCTCGACTGTAAGATAACGATTTTGACTCTCTTAATTTGTAGCAATTATCTTTTTTTACAAAAAGTAAGCGCACGAAAAATATATTCATTAGAATCAACTCTAATATTTGCGCTATTGATGTATATTTGCAACATATTAACTGGGCAAGTATCACAACCCGTTTTTGCAATCAAACAACGATCGCCATCCCTATAAACATCAGTTTTACTTTGAACAATAAAAACTTCAACATGATCTGTATAGAAACATATATCTGAACGCTTAATATTAACAAGTTCTGAAAACCTTAAAACACCAGCATATGACAAAAAACACATAGTTAAATTTCTCAACCATTTAAACAACCAAAGGCACAGACTAATTGTCTTAATACATCAGGAGAGATCGGTTCCTTTTTGGTAACAGAATGACCAAGAATCCTATGAGCTGCTTCCCTGGCTGAAATAACGTAGAACGACGTACACGGATTGCTCGAAAAGCCTGCTGATTCATGAGCATAAAATGCCTCGTCAACGCTTGAGAAAGATTTACCTTTTTGAATTAACGAAACCAAATAAAGGCAGACATCAGATTCCGGAGCCGGAAGTGGAAATTCTGAATTTAGATGCCCAAACGACTCCTTGCTTGAAAAGTTCTTTTTACTTTTTACTGGTATTAGGTGCTTTGGATTGAAGAACAATATCTGGAACACGATCAGCCAGGAAAGACAACTCCGGATTTCTGGTAATCTTCAGTGCAGTTAGATCTGCAAAACGTATTAGAAGAGAATGAAATATAGTAAATACTCATATTAATATCATTACATATATATGTTTTAAATATGTAAAATAAACACAAACATGAAAATATATACACAAATTATAGAAGTTGTCTTAATAACGCCATCAGGTCGGCAACATTTATTAACGCCGTCAGGTCGGCGATAAAAATAAGCTCTACGTACGCCGTCAGGTCGGCGATTAAAAATAAGGTCTACGCCGTCAGGTCGGCAAAAAAACATGAATAGACCATAAGGTCGTCAAAAAACAACTAAAACAGTTCAGTCGGCATAAACTAAATAAAGCCGTCAGGTCGGCAACAACTTTACGCCGTCAGTTCGGTAGAAAATTCTATCAACGCCGTCAGGTCGGCGGAAATCGATAACATATTAAACATCATTATTGGTACAATCCAGCCTAATAGCAAGGACTAAAAATCGTGTTATTGTTTAAGTATTGAACAAAAATATACTGCCCGGATGAAAACATTAAAATATAAAGAATATGAGCTTTCTTAATACTGTTGTCTCCAAACAACATTGGCCAAAACGGCGCCGAAGGCCAATTTGGAATAATTAAAGTTCCCTTAGCTTTGCACTTCTCCAAGTAATTTATAACCTGTGGAACAATACTTATAGGGGGCACAAGCAAATTATTTTCCCCAGCCCAAGAACAGGAGAAGGCATTCACTGCCTCTGTTTAAGGGACCCAAAGCCTAGAATTAAATCGAAGTATTCTATTGTTGTAATGATTGGCAAATCTGTCAACCGTATGAGTGCCCCATAAATCATCCATGAAACAGAAAAAATCAACGGAAACTCCCCAGTCATCTACATCACAAAAGTTGCTTATACAGTCTGCGATTTCGTTTTGGCTCCTTGGAACCCATTCAGTTAACAACGAAATATTTTCTTTCAAACATAGATCAAATATTTTAATAGAAATCTCGTGCAAACGAGATTTTGTACTTCAGTTTTCTACAGTTCGTACACAATTTTGATTATCTGTACAAAGAAGCACTTGCTTGTCTTTTAGTTTAACATGAAACTTTCAATTGAAAAAATAACACAGACAGTTCTCTCCAGGTAGAACTTTCTTTTTGTCATTAATCGACCAATTTTTATGACAGATTTGATCATTTTCGCCTTTTATAAAAGCCCCACATGTTTTACTACTTGCATCTGAAAATATAGTAACAGAATCTGACCCATTGTGAGTAAAGAGGTACTTTACAGGTGTTTCCTTGAACTGATTTCCCCAGAAATGAAGCTCTTGAAAACTGTCAGTGAAAAATGAAATATTTAAAACCGAATCCCAAGATGACCTAGATTCTATAGCTCTGTGAAGATTTTTTGTCATCAGTTTGCAAACATTCCCTATAACTGGCATCATTGAGACAATCTTCCCTGTTATTCTAGCGATTTCTCTGCCAGTCAAAAAATGTATTTTTACTGAATAAGCATGCAAGAGATCTACAACACTGACTAATCGTCTGCTAGGGATACTGATACTATTTTCTTGCAAATTCCAAACTATACCTAACCATTCAATATTTTGAGTAGGAACCAGAACAGACTTTTGAAAATTCAAAACAAAACCAGCCTGTAAAAGCACTGATTTAACAAATTCAGCATCTTTAAAGGTCAGTAAATAATTTCTATTTACATCCCAGCCATCATCTAGAAATAACACTAACCTGACCCCATTTTCCCGGATGTATTTAACAATATATCTCAAACATTTGGTAAAAAAAAGGGGGACGGTGAAAGACCAAATGGTAAAACAGTGAAAACGTAATAGTTTTTAACATTGTTCCCTGACCAAGAAAACCCTAAAAAACACTGATGTGTAGTGGATATATTAATGTGATAGTGGATATATTAATGTGATAGTGGATATATTAATGTGATAGTGGATATATTAATGTGATAGTGGATATATTAATGTGTAGTGGATATATTAATGTGATAGTGGATATATTAATGTGATAGTGGATATATTAATGTGTAGTGGATATATTAATGTGTAGTGGATATATTAATGTGATAGTGGATATATTAATGTGATGGTGATCAGAAGTTATATCAAATTTAAACATAAATCCATTTTTATAAAGATATTCATATGCAACTTTCCAAATGTTCTTTCCAAACATATTTGTTTAAAACACTTAAATCCAAAATAAGACGCTTTTTACCTTGGCTATTTTCAGCTACAGACAAAGGACTAACAATATAAGGCACAAAACTAACTTTCAAGACAGAACCGGAACTCACTAATTTTGCCACGGCTTCAGAGACAAATTTTGAATTTTTAAGAGCGGACTTATTTTTCATGAAATAACTTTTTGGAACTTCTAAAAACGGAATTTTGTAGCCGTTCTTTATTACATCCAAAATAAATGCAGGTGCCTTTAAGGTATCTTCCCAAAATCTATAATGATCACGCAAACTACCTTTAACATCAGAAAGATCGCTACATTTATTAATACTATTTTGACTGGATAAATTTTGATATTCAAAATATCTTTTTTGTAACAAAATGTTTTTAAAGTCTTTATCATTATTTTAAATCATATCTAGATATGAATACTCATCTTCCTCATCACTGCTTTGAGACTGTTGATCTTGCTTGAGCTGCATGAACTGCGGGACTTGAGGTTGTTGTTGTTGTTGTCCGAATTGCCAAGGGGAAACGAAGGTTCCGGAAACGGAAGTTGAGGCGACCCCTGGTTCAGAATATTGAAAGGGTATTCCCCCATCCGCCACATGAAAAACATTGGATAACCCTGTTGAAGCGTCGTTAGCCACGAGAAATAGGCATGAAGTTGGTATTTGAAGGAGGAACACCAGGGGAAGTAGAAGACCCATTAAGATCAGCAAACCCTGGGCTAGGTGTAGCGCTGGAAGGCTTCCGCGGCTGCTTAGATTTAAGTTTGGCAAGCGCCCTGCTCTCTGCCCTTTTAAGACGTTTATCATCGTCACTGTCACTGGCTAAGTCGTCTGACTCGTACTCTTTGACTGTGTCCCAGCCACCTGCAGATTTATCAGCAATTCTGATAAGCTTATTTCTATGAAATACCTTCTTTCTCAGGGCTTCAGATAATTCTAGGACTTTATTCTGCTCGCCCCTTTTAGTAGCTTCTTTTATGTCGTCAAAACCCTCAACGTCAAGATTGAAAACAAACTGTTTCTTGTTACTTCGATACTTGAAGTCCTTGGATGACGAAACAATAGGAACTCTGGAACAGGACCGCATATTGCGGCGCATAAATCCGAATCCGTACCAGCTTTACATATTGTTTGTCCGACCTTTGAATATCTTTTTATATTATACGAGCGGATGGTCTTTAATTATCTTATCTCAATTTAATATAATCTGCTAATTTAAAAATCAGTCAAGTTTACGGTATATTGAAAAAAGAAAAGGAGTGACATTTTGCCGCAACGTTCGGCGTAAGTTACCCCCCTTGATATGCTTGATTTTGTTTTAATTTTTCTAGTACTCTCTTTATGTCACTCAATACATGGGGAACTTTCACATTTCCTAACAAGGAATACCAGATGAGTGCCTTGAATATTTAACTATGGATCATGTTTTAATATTCCTTTTTTTCAGTTAGGCAAAATCTATTAGACCATATTACTAAAGTGCCTGTTTTCTCCATGTAAACAAATCATATCACGAATACGCCCGTTATAATGCCGACTATACATGTCAAACACTAGTGCATGTCAACACGTGTAAACATTAAACCGTTACGATACCTGATAGTTGACAACGATAACGGGAACAAAATTCTGAAAAAATAGTAATCAAGTGTCATTCGGAACTGCCTCGGCTATTATCTATAATATTAACCTCGGAAACAATACGGATTGAAAGTAGTTCTACCACGTGGTTTACAGATGTAAACAGAAACAGAGATAATGTAAAACGAATGTATATATTTGACATCTAATGTCTGTTCCGGTACTCTTATGCTTGAAATTTGTCTGGCAACAATTTGTAATTTAAATATGCCAGCTGATGTTCAATTTTAAATAAATCCGACCAAATGTCAACAGGTTGTTTTTTTGTACTTTCGGTTTCTACAGCCATATTAGTAAATATATAAATAATGTATTGTTTGCTTTTGTACCTATGAATTTACTTATTTAAGGTGGACTTTTACTACATATATTGGAAATAAACGTGTCAACAACTCCTAGCATTAAATTACTATTTGTTTACATGTTTAGTTTCTTAGCGTAGGTTAGACCGGAATACCGCATCCGTTCTGTGTATTCATAGTATTGTGTTTGAGGTCCTTATCCGAAGACTGACGGAAAGGGCCGAGTAGTTGCGATTGATCAAGTGTAGCCAAAGCTGAACGTTGCGGCAAATGGCGGATGTCACTCCTTGTCTTTTTTATAATACCGTAAAATTTGACCAGTTTTAAAAGGAACAGATTGGGTTCAAGTGATAACAATTGTTTGAGACCATATGCTCGGATAATTATTTAAATGTAGCAGAAACGTTCTTAAAAACCGTTACACGATCGAAAATATGCGCCGCAATCTGCGGTCCCGTTCTCGAGTTCCTATGGACGAAACATCCTTGAAACGCCTTAGTGTGGAAGTCGAAGAGGAGTGTAATTCTTCTCTCAATTCTCTTTTCAATGACTTGAAATGCTGGTCGAAATAAGAGCGCATCAAACCAAATTGCTCAATGGAAGATTCATCTACAGAGCCATCTGTATTTCCATTTCTATCACTGAAGGACGAACTATCTATAATTCTATCTTCTGATTAAGCCATTTATGAAATCGTAATGTATGTGTTTACTGCACAATGCAAAGACTTCGAATGAGGAAAAAATCTTAACAACGATTATCAATACTTTACACGCACGGAAAATCCGTGCAAAACTGAATACCATAAATACTACAACCTTAAAGGGTGAAACTAGATGATTTACTGTAACCTATGATAAATATATTTAAAATAAATGATCGAATATGTATGTCGCCGCCGTGTATATAAAATCCGGTCTTTGTCCCCGAGGACGTTGCCCACATCACTTTCAAGTAATGAAAATTACTATAAAAACACATATTTTTTGAAAAAGTCATTAAGATACTTCCCCAAACCAAACCAAACCCAATTTTATAAACTAAAAGACCTCCCAAGAGGGAAAACTCCCCTTTACAAGGCAAAAGAAATTATCGTTTATTTCATATCGCGGCTGTATAATCCGGTCATCGTCCCCGGGGACGTTATCCACAGCACTTTTAAATAATAAGAAATACTATAAAAACACAAAAAAAATCTGTGAAAAAGTCATTGAGACACTTCCCCCAAAACAAACCAAGCCCCATTTTATAAAATAAAAGACCCCCGATAAAACCTTCTTCTCGGAAAACTTCCCTTTACGAGGCAAAAAAAATGATCGAATATTTCATATCGCGACAATAAATAATCCGGTCGTCGTCTCTGGGGACGTTGCCCACAGCATTTAAAATGTTATATAAGTTTATAACACGTACTAAACTTTTTGAAGAAGGTTTTTTTTTAAGATTTAATATAAAATGGATACATGTACTATAGTTTTGACATCGAGAATGCGCGTGCATAGTAAGAAATAAACATATTTTCAAGCGTTTACATGATACCGATGTCATTGAATTCGCTCTGACAAAAAAAATATTTTTAAAAAACTTATCGTCCCCTTGGATACGATGGCCGGATTATGCATAAACATTGAATTGAATATCAGCAATTAGATTTATAGCCAATGTCCCCCAGTTATAACACTGAAAACAGCATTGCTGGCACTATACAAAAACAAATTGGTTTATTATCTCACAACCTTCACCTTTCTGACATTCTGAGACCCGAACAAATTCAGCGCATTCTGTGCTTTGATTCTTTACAGATTTTGTAAGAATTGAAAATGTTCATTTACACAAGCATTTAAAAGACGACAATGCAATAATTATTTTATACAACCGGAGTCTATCTCAGTTCTTCTTCTACTATTGTTTTTGTTGTGACACCTCCACTTACAAACCAGTCACATTTTGGTATGTCAAGTTTTGTTAGAGATTTACAAAGCTGCTGAGCTATATACCCTCTCTCAGTAAATATCTGCAAACAAAATACCCCTGGAATTTGCTTCAACGCTTTTGATAGATGAAAAAGCAAGTGATTTTCTAAATCCGATGCGTCTGTTCCAAATATATCAATTGTATACGATTCTGGTGGATTTCTGCATTTAAAACTACTTCCGGCAGTTAACAGACCTCTGACGCCATTTGAGGTCAATCTGATTGTAGAATAGAAATTTGTATTCCTTCCATTTAATAATTTGACATTTTCTTTCATACATCTATACGGTGCAAAATCCAGCAAAATTCTGTTTTTTGGAAACAGTGCATTACTTACTTGTGTAGAATTGAATACAATATGCATATCTCTTGGTGCTATATAAATGATCTCTGAATGATCATGCTCCTGGAATAATGGCTCTTCTAGCTTAAGTCTAATTTCCTCAGTCACAACACCAACATAATGTAACTGTAAAAGAGATAATGCTTGTCAAAACTAATAAAGGGGACATTTATTGGGTGTCTGATTTATGCTACCGGTATTTCCTGTGTGTGTGTTTTAGGACGAAAAGGCAATCAATGACTTGTTGTGTTTTCGTGGTAACTATATTTTGCCCAACCTGCACGAAAGTACAAAAACGTTACAGACTATAGTCTGTCCCATCAAATTTGAATATTCCATATTTTATTTAATATAATAGTAAAATCATTTAAATTAATGTCATGTTAACCCTGACATCAATATTTCTAGGCATGTTTTTCATTTTTTCATGAAGTCAATAATATGGTCAAAATGTTAAAATTATATTTTTTCCCGTTGACTTACGTTGTAGCCTGACGTGACGTCCATTTCAAAATGGCGGCGCCCATTTAGACGTCATTTAGGGTTCGTCTCACAATTAACGTGAAATGTACTCAGTAATTATAAAAAAATGATTATTCTTCTTTACTTACTGATCAATAGCTAAATGTTATCATTAAAAAGAAAAATGAGAACAAAGTTGGTGTCATAATTAAATTCACTAGTATGACTAGATATTGATCTTCATTTTTATTGTTTTCCTTTAGCAAAGTTAAAGGAAATATTAAAGTTTAATATTTTATTTATATGACATCTTGCAGTTTCCAAAGTTTTGTTTTTTTAAGTTTTTTTTGTTTTTATATTGTACCTACCTACCTACCTACCTAACGAAAGGCAATTTTACTAGCAAACCATTATTTAAAATAATCAAAATCATTTGAAGTGAAAATATCAGCGTCGTAGGGGAACGGGAACACTAGCTAGAAGACTATAAAACTGTTTTTTCGCTAATTAATGTTTTATTTACATAATTCTGTAGTTGTCTGAATTCTGTCACGTCTATTCAAAAATAATTACATTGACCAGGTTCGATTGGATACAAAATATGTTACCTTTCTTATTTCGGGTGCGACGTTCGTGCGCTAAACTTTCCGTAGGTTTCAACTTTCGCAAGAAATCGCCAACAAATACTACATTATCATGCAAATCTGACAAGAAATATATAGAAAGTAGAACTGATTCACTATACGTTCAGCATTGGTTTGCTTGTAACCACAGTGTCACTTTAACTAGCTCCCTCGCTAATAAGAGAACACAGGCTCGCGGTAATTCGAGGAAAATGTAAATTATAAGAATATAATATCATTCTTTCTAGTTTGAGCAATCAAACGTAGTCCTATACACTTTAAGCTCGTAAATACAGATTAACTTTCCGTCTCAAAATGTCCAGAAATACCGGCAGTGATTTGATATTATTAAGAAAATAAGTTTGAATTGAAGCGTTCAATAAGCGACAATAAGTGTGTGTGTTTTTTTGTAGACTCAAAGTGTTACATACAAGTGTATTATGTTAATATGAATGGGAGATCGAGTCAAAGAGAAACACCGAGTGACGTCCTCAATAATTTTAGCCTTCCTAAAATTTGAAAATATTCAGTGAAAAAACAATTGCATATTTTTCGCGGGAGAAAAAATACCGCGTATTGTATATTTTGTAGCTAAAAGAGTAGGATTTACAGAAGTCTTGAATAACGAGATAATATATAGGGAAATCATTTCTGAAAAATATATAAAATAGTTTAAAAACATAAAATCAAAACGAAGGTTATATGTAATTAATGGAAGAAGTATTGTACTGTTATAGATTCATGTCATTAAGTGTGTTTAAAATTATTTAAATGTTATCAAAAGTTTTATTATTAATATATGAATTGAAGGTGTAATTTTAACAGTTAATTTGCAAAATCTGTGTACATACAAAAATTATTTTAAATGCCATCAAGACAAATTTATCTCAACGCTTAAACTGGATAGAAACTGGCAATGAAGGAATCTTCTGAGTGCGAATTTGTCGTGACGTTTATAAAGATCTATTTCGAAATTCATAGGGATTCTATTCAGCTTAAAAGTAATGGCAATTTCCAGATCTACTCCATGTTACTCGATGTTCTTGTTGCTTATTTTTCATTTTTAAAGTTTTCCATCATGCATTGCAACTAAACTGTTACATCTTGTAGATCAAGCTTTGTAAAATAACCTTGAAACGACCCCGAGAACCTCTTGTATATTTTAGAAACATGACACGTGCTTTCTCCAGTTCATCTTCAAATGAAGAGTACTTCGGCAATGGCTACGGAAAATAAACAACAGAGATTTACCATAGAGAATCAAAATTTGCTTTCACAAGAAAAGTAGACATTTTAGAGAAAAATCCTGAAAAATCTCGAGGGTGACTTTTTTCTAGTTTACAAAAAAAGTTTAATTTTTGTTCAACCTCGTTTTGTTAATTCATTGCAGGCAAAAGTTCATTTCCATTTTTAATGGGACAGACTATAATGGTAAAAATACAACACTTTAAACGTCTACTTGCATAAAATACAAAACAAAAAGTCGCAATCACAGAATCGAGTCTTTAAAGTTTCGTATTTCCACCTGTTGTCTTTTCTTCTTTGTCGTTTTTCGGCTTTGTTGTACTTTCGCCTGGCAGGGCAAAATGGTCGAAAACATGACAACACAAAGTAACATTTTGTCGTACTTTCGTAATCTTACGAGTCGACATAAACATTAGATAAAAAGCATATCTTAAGCTGATTAAAGCATCGGGTTTATTTTTGAATCAGTCTCAAAGTCCGCTTCCTGAACTTACAATATCTAATGTCAGATGAGGAAATATGGTCGTGACTTGTGTGTGGTTCGAGGCCAAGATCCAAATCATGAGCCGCAAAGACCATGAGACAATCACCCACTTTAATTTAAGCCGTAAGGTTAGCTCAATAGGTAGAGCGTTGGACTGTGAATCGGGCGACCCGAGTTCGATTCCGGACGGTGCTGGTCATTTTCGTTGTGATTGATCAAGAAAACCTTTCTACGGTCATTCGCACTGTACCTCTGCTCTGGCATGTACAGAAATTTCAGTTCCTTGCGAAAGTGAAGGCAACTAGTACTGGTAAATTGCTTGACAGCTTGCCCAGGAACGGTGCGGTGGCTGAACTGTGCTTTGGTAAATTCAATGTGGCTTACTGCCGTGATCCGGAGTGAAAACTACCAATATTACCACCACCCACTTTAATATACTCGATAAATTATATACATTTCTGACGTGTCATGTAATCTTCTTATATTCAGTAAAGTAATATTGTATTACGTTAACCCACAGGAACTTGAAATTCTATCAATATTAATGATAATATCCAAAATATACCCCCTATACAGTATAAATAAACACAAAGAATGAAACGCCTTTTCCCCACCCCAACATAATTTATGCCGAACAAGTCAACAAAACAACGGATCAAAATAATCTATCGGACCATTTCGATAAACAATACATAAATGCATCAAATACCACCGATAACTTTTTTAAAATCGCGTAGATGTGTAGGAATAATTCAAAATTTTCTGATTATTTCCCGCAATCTGAGTTTGTCGCCGACTCCATTCCGTGACGTCACTGGATTTTGATTCGAGGAGAATAATATTTATTAAAATTATTCTTAATAAGTTCCAAAAAATAACAGGTATGTATTAAACTTTTATACAAATCATTCTATGTAAATAGATTTAAACATCATTATGTAAAACCTTTTTAACAAATTACTTTTATTAATACATTTGAAAGGGAAACCGCAAACAAGAACGGTAAAACTTTGAAATAGTACTTTTGTTTTAAAAAAATATTTGAATACTCTCTATTTGATATGGCCCAGCAAATAAATTCAGCCATGTCGTAAGAAAGAAATTAGTCATTTGTTCTAGTTTGACAGTATTTTACTTGCAAACTTATTATTTTTTGGAACTTGTTAAAAATAATTTTAATAAATATTATTTTCCTCGAATCAACATCCAATGACGTCACGAAATGGAGTCGGCGACAAACTCAGATCTTATTCCTACATAGCTACGCGATTAAAAAAAGTTATCGGTGACATTTGATGCATTTATGTATTGTTAAGCAACAGTCTCACTTACATCCCGGCAGAGCCCCGGCAGAGCCCCGGTAGACGTCCGGGGTGATCCGGGAACGACCTGGGTACGACCGGGAACAACCGGGGTACATCCGTAACTCTGCCGGCAACGTCCTAGATGATCCGGGATGATCCGGGAACATCCGACATTCGACCCCGGATGGAATAAGATATTTAATATTACCGGGGTGGTCCGGGATGATCCGGGAAGGTATAGCTTTGCCGGCTTCATCCTTAGCTCTGCCGGGAACGACCGGGGTTATACCGGGAAAGCACCGTAGCTCTGCCGGCACAAACCGGGGATGATCCGGGGTATGATATAGCCGGTAGAGCTACGGTAGAGCCCCGGTATATGCCGGCAGAGCCCCGGTAACTACAGGCAGAGCCCCCCCCCCCGGTAGAGCCCCGGCAAAGCCCGGATCATTTCAAAAGAATAACGACAATTTGCGATGATTGCACTTGTTTGTATTAAAAGCCTTCCCATTTCCCTTCTATCCAGTATGGCATAAGGATTTTTCAGAAAATCATCATGAATTACTATTCTGGAACAATAGATATTATATTAAATAAAAATTATGTATCAATGTTATCATTTTCGGGCGTTTTCAATCCACCGGGGTTCTACCGGGGCTCTGCCTGGATCGTCCTGGGCTCTGCCGGGACTCTGCCTGGATCGACCGGGGTTCTGCCTGGGTCAACCAGGGCTCTTCCGGCGTCATCCGGGAACGACCGGGGAAGCATCGGCATGAACCGTAGCTTCATCTGGGCTCTGCCTCGATGATCCGGAGCGCATCCTGGGTGGTTAGTAGGGAACTACCGTAGTGCTGCCGGGGTAAGTGTGACCGCAACAATAATTTCATCCCGGATCGTCCCGGATCATCCCTGTAACTTACCGGGATGGTCCTGGGCTCTGCCGGAGTAAGTGAGACCGAGGCTTTATCGAAATGGCCCGATATATTATTTTTGATCCGTTGTTTTGTTGATATTATGTTGGGGTGGGGAAAAAGCGTTTTATTCCTTGTATTTATTTATACTGTATAGGAGGTATATTTAGGATATTATCATTAATATTGATAGAATTTCAAGTTCCTGTGGGTTAACCTAACCTTTGAAGCTATTTCAACATGAGAGAGTTTAAATTTTTCCGATCTAGTGTACTTGTTAAAAGAGGTCTCGACTAGTGCCACACGACGTTTACATCCATGTTCAATCGCTATTTTGTTGAAATACTGATTCATAGCACTGAAATAAAAAGAACAGTTACTTCTTCAGGGTGGCTATCCCACGTGCCTTGTGACTTGCTTCAATTCGTTTTGAAAATGGTTTTGAAATAAGAGAACTAGTTTGAAAATATGGATTTATATCGGCAATTCAACTTCATATTATTTCTGATGTCAAGATCACATGGGTTGGCCACCCATTACTTTTTATCAAAGTTAATACTGTTTACTTCAGATAGTTGGTACGTAGCTTGGATAGTATACATGTACATTACCACACCCATTTTTTATTAATAAAATATTGTTTAATCATTTATACTGTAAATAAAGAAAAGGTAGAAAGGTTCACCAGAGCAACTATCACCCGGCCTTATTGAAAGTCCCAGATCTTTGTTAATTTTCAACCAATTTTCTCCAATTAAAGTTCAATCTACTAAGAAATGATTTATCTTTTTTGTTTGGCAAAAAATCGAGCGTTTAGCGAAAATTGTCCCGGTCGGACATCGCTTGACCTAGTACGAAGATGATTTTGAACATAAATCGATCTATTTTTTAATGATAAATTAATGTAACAGGGTAGGCCTGCAGTCAATTTAAACCTTAAACGCCGAGAGGTAGGTACATTGGGTACTTTTTGAACTAACTTTTAAATTTCTCGACAAGACATTAATATATGTACAAATGTGACTTGCCGTTAGGCATTGTAATTGGAAGACAGCGGGAACTTTAGAAACTGTTTAACTATGTGCATTTTTAAACTACGTGACGACAAAATATTCATGAGAAAATAACGTTATTCATATTTTCTCAAGTATTAATATATATCTACCCAAATAGTCCTTGGCCCTCATATGTTTCATGTACACGACCAGCTTGTCCAAGAATAGATTCCCCACCGTCGAGGAAAAGAATTACACCGAACGAAACCTGATTTAAAAGTAGAAGGGAATTAACTCAGATTACAAAACTTTGTAAATTAGCACTGAATTTACATCCAATGATAATACTATTCATATCATACATTATGATATAAATAGTTTGTATATATTTTATCTCGTGACAATCCTGTAGAATATAATTACGTTCTTAATAGTTATTCGTTAACTTTAAAGTTTTTCAAACATTCTCTTCAAATACACTTTTTTTTTCAATTTTTTACTTACAAGCGTTCCATCTAACTCGCCAACAATGCAGCGTCTGTTGTCATCATGTAGAAAATAATCAAACTGGTCTGGTAGATAGTCCAGCCCTCGGTAAACATTATGCCGGAGTGACAAGATGGTACTTTTGTCATCATTTGACGCTTCACGAAACTTTAAATCATGCACGTTGACTAAAATGTACCAAAAATAACTATACGTAGTATAAACTATATGTAATTTGCGGTATTCCATAAGAACACGGAAGTGCGAAGACGAGAAACCGTAGTAAAAATGTTGATTTTCCTATCTCGATAAAACATCATAATATCATCTCGGAAATTTAATAAGCTTTGCTTTGTATTTCGCTGTCTATTTTAGTAAGAAAATGGCCCTTTTCATTTGTACTTCTAAAAGAGGAATAAAAAAGTGGGGCATCTACGGAAACGTTAAATGAGATCATGAAGTGTAAGTCGACTGATTTTAATTCGATTTAATTAGACGTTTAAACACAAATCAATTTATTTCATTCATAATGATTGAAAAAAACTTTCATTTCGCCACGCCTTTTATCGTTGTGCTTAAAGTTTTTGTCAAGGCGAAAAGGTATCTTTCCGTTTTTTTTTTTGTAAAACATTTGTCTTTTTGACAAAAAATCGCCCAAGTTGAACGGAATCGGAAAAAAATGTAAGTGTAAATAATAATTGTATTTTGAAATAGTCCACTTACCGGCTGTTTTAAAAGCACGAACAAAATGTTTTGTGTTTGTCAAGCGTAGAAAAGTTCTCATTTTGATAATTTTGATAATTTTATATCCCAATCCAATAAAATTGATACATCGGTACTGTTTAATATAAACCATATATTTAATAACACATCTTGTGAAAGAAGAAGAAAGATTTAAGCGGTTGCTCTTTTATTTGTGGTCATTCACTTCAGACACATAATTTTATTTGGTCTATGTTATCAAAGTTTTGTGATTTATATCAAAGACACATGCTGTTTCCCACAAAAACATTCGTCATTTCGGACCTTATATGTCCCAACGTGGTTATAACATCCTTCTTACGGTGAGTGTTTATACGTATACATGTATTGTATAAATATAAGCACTGACTGAAGTATTTTATCTGGTATAAATTCTAGTAAAAAAAAACTAAGCATGTACAAAATGCACTGCATACGGATAATCAAATGACCTTTCATAGTGTTTATTGAATATTAAAGCCAAAAATTCTTATTCAACGTAATTTTTTTTAATTTGGAGGGAACTAGTTAAAGTGTCGACGGTGCCGTTATGTTAAGACGCAGGGATATTTTCTAAGAAGCATTATAAAAAGTAATAGCGAACTTGCAGCTCAAAGCTTATGAAGGGCGTTTGTTGTCAAAATTCCAGACATGTAAAGTGTTCCTTTTAAAAATTACTTTGAAAATGCGAACGTGCATGCCTACCACTTTTTATTGTAGTTCTACAACTGGAAACACGTTTTCTTAACGAATTTTACATTTCAGTTGTATATCTCAGGTACATATAGCATTTAAATTTGTTGTTGTTTTCAATGTTAGGTCAGTTGTTATGATCTACATGTAAATTTGTTATTTGAAAACGGGTGCCTTCAATTAAAAGATTGGATTAAGAGGCATATTATTTGCTATGCACAGATACACTAAAATGCTAGATATACACGTTCGCATTGTCAAAAGTAGTTTTGAAAAGGGACAATTTACATGCCTCCATAAAAGCGGGCCAGAATTTTTATGAAGTTTTGTTGATATTGCTGAATCCATTTTTTTCTTTTCTTTTTTGGTAAAATAGACTTTTATTGCTTTTATTGCCAAAACAATTCCTTTTGAAAAGATTACCAAAAATACAACTGCACAACAGCGTCGTATCATATTTTCTTTCAACTGCGTCGTATCATTTCTTAAAAATCATTATTTTCTTGGAAAATAAACATCACTTTTAAATGAAATTTTAGTAAATGATGCAAAATTATATTTTGAAGTTTATGGTTAACTCTTAAACGTACGGAAGCGAATTTAACATGTTCTATAAAAAGTATATCTCCTACGTAGGAGATAAAAAAACCTTAATTGGAGTTTATAAGTCCTACGTAGGAGATAAAAAAGCCTTATTAGGAGTTTATAAGTTCTACGCAGGAGATCAAAAAACTAAATAGGAGTTTATAGGTCCTACTTAGGACTTTGTAACTCCTACGTAGGGCTTTATAAGTTTTCTCCTGCGTAGACGTTATCAAATCCTACGTAGGACTTACAAAGTTCTACTTAGAACTAATAAAGTTCTACTTAGGACTTATAAAGTCCTACGTAGGAGAACACTTATAAAGCCCTACGTAGGACTTTGTAAAAAAAAGCCTAATTACGAGTTTGTAACTTATACGTAGTAGTGTTTTACGTAGGAGCTAAAAAGCCTAATTAGAAGTTTATAAGTCCTACGTAGGACTTTGTAACTCCTACGTTCGAGATAAAAAAAGATTTAATAAAGAGTTTATAAGTCCTACGTAGCACTTTGTAACTCCTACGTAGGAGATAAAAGAACCTAATTAGGAGTTTGTAACTCCTACGTAGGGCTTTATAAGTTTTCTCCTTCGTAGAAGTTATAAAATCCTACGTTGGACTTACAAAATCCTACGTAGTACTATGGACTTATTTAGTCCTATATATATACGTAGGAGATAAAAAGCTAATTAGGACTTCATAACTCCAATAGTTGTGCTAACAACATATACCAAATGAAGCGGAAAATTGTGGAGCGTGTAAATACATATATCATATGTAACAAAAAGAGTATTAAACAAAAAACAACATTTTCTTTCCAACATGGCGGCATTTGTTTACAAATTGTAGGATGCGACGGAGTTCTGATTACCAGCCCTGGGTATTGAAATGTCATACTCTGCTTATAACATAAAACTACCTTGATGAAAAAAATCGAAATTACGAACCAAATACAGAAAAACAGAATCCCTAGAGAAAGCCAAAACATGGCAGAATTGAAAATGTTGCAGGCTCGGTTTGATTTTCATCAGGTTGTTTCTATCGTATTTTGTTGGTCGGTCACTAAAATGAATTTGGTACATGTTTTTACCCTTATAACAATATAAGCATTAGTATTCAAAAAATGCTATGAATCGCCGTCCAGCAGGGTATTCGAAGATATTTATTCGTGAAAGTGAAACGAGTGTTTCCGTCGTCAAGGCATGAACACGACCCATATGGTCAGGGAATGTTTATCCTAGGACCTTATACATAATGAATATATGTTTTTTCGACCATATGAACATCAAACTTGACAAATGACGTAATAATGCGCAGGCAATGTTTAACACTCACGTTTCAGGATTCATGAACTTGCCCTATCTTGCCTATGCTGATTTTATTTGTTTAGATAGTTTTCTGTTGAAAGAAGGTATTTGTAACATAATATAGGACATTTTGAGGCTCTAGGACACTATAAGGAGGTTTATACTTCAAGAAATGCTACCAAATGGCCGACAAGAATTGTATACCTTGATTCAAAATTTTGAATGCATTTATTTTCATGAAAATATACAAATATTTATCATTTTACATGTAAGAACATAGAATGTAATCCTTATTTACCTAAGACTTAAGTTCCCTTAAAAATATTTAATTTCGGTATGCAATGGTTTTGCAAATGTTTTCACTTTTATTTTATTTGTTGTTGAAAATGGTGATGTAACTGGTGCGATCACTGGTTTCATTATGACGTAAGTATAAAAAATAACACAGTTTGCATTACTTTTGCAGTTTTATAGGCGAACAAAGCTTTAAATCTATTATATGTGTCAATAATTTATATGATACAAGTTTTACATTCTTAATTACATTTCTTAGTAAGTTTACACATTTACATTTATATATTATGTTTCACATTGTAACAGATTCAAGAAGAGAAAGAAAATAGCACTTTTTGCTACAAACAGTAAAAAATAAACATTGATGACTAGTTCAATGGTAAATAAATACGATGAAATAATACAATGACAAAACTTAGGTAAACTGAGATCAGCATACTATACTGACCTAGTTAACCCTTCACTTCACGTGACAGTGTTGAATGTTTTCATGGTACATTTCTCTTGGTCTCCTGCCCGTGTCTCTTACAACATACCGTGTAATTATATAGGTACGTTTGTTGTCCATTTCCAAAATGTCTTGATTCGCAAAAGAATTTTCAGTTAAAGTGTATAATTCTGTATATCTGCTGCAAAAATATTAGTTTGATTATTAAGAATTGTTTGTGTAATAGATTTCCTTTATAGCAAATGCTGCATGCACCTGTTTTGTTAAACGTTTCAAACCCTACTTAAAAAGCATCCATGACCATTTCATTCCTGTTAGCGTAAATATTCATGTACACAAGTGTTTTTATTAACGGAGACATTCTGTTATGTAAAACCTCTTTCAAAAATCGATCATAAAATTGTGGAAATAATATAATTTTACTGATGATAAACTGTATGAAAACATTTCACAAGATATAGCTTTATACACTTCAAAATATTTATTACATTAACTAGTGTTATTAATTCTTATTTATTGTCGACGTTGTAATAATCATTAAGCAGAATACTTTTTCTTTTACACTTTTTTCTCAACAAGCATGATACACACTTATAGTCTTCTCTTGAGGGCTTTTACCAGGTCCGAAACTATATTTACAGCGACGCCTATCTTTAGCGGTCCGTGTGGGAAGAACCACGCGTGATGAAAACCAGCTTTATAATGCCTATGAATAACTTTGGTTCCCGCAGAATTGAGACGCTCAGCATACATTATCCCATCATCACGGACGAAGTCATACCCGCACGTGACTATGTAAGCTTCAGGTAGATCTCTTAACAACGTATCGTTAGCCATGAGAGGTGCTGCGAACGGGTCTGTCAGAACATTTTCAATACTGTCCGACAACACGTCGTTTCCGAAATTAAGATCATTACTCGAATCTTCCAATAGGTTTTTATTGCGGACATATTCTGGCTTCATCCATTTACTCTGATTTACCATAGCAGCAAACACAGATCTCTTAAGAACGCGGGAAGTGTGATTATTATTCAGAAAGTCTTTATAATGAGCGGGAGATATTCCTAGATAGTTTGTAACAAACACCACTGATAGTGGGTTATTAATACTGTCATGAAAATAGTATGTATTTTCAATAAAAGACGTGGTTTTAAAATCAAAGAACTGCAAACACGGTACTATTAAAAATTGCATTGCAATAACATCAGACATGCGAAGAGAAATGGCTGCTGCCAAGTTCCCACCAGCGCTGTCTCCGCCGACAGCAACCCGGAAAGGATCTATTCGAAAATCTTCCGTATGATCCGTTACAAACTTTACAACTTTAATGCAATCTTCTAGAGCAGCAGGGTAAGGGTTGTCTGGGCTGAGCCGATAACTGCAAGAAAAATAATAACATGCCCCCAAAAAAGTGTCAAAGAGTAGTGGACTGGTGAAACGTTTTGTATTTTTCTGTACGCGTACGAAGCTTACAAAATTTTTTGCCTTAACAATTATTTTCATATGCACCCATGATAGCTTTTATATATTCTTTGAATGATTTAAACTTGAAAATTAAATTGCGTCAAAGTTCACTCCCTCATAATATAAGCATGTATAATGAGTGATAAAAAGAGCGATTCATGCAAAAATGAAATACTTAAATATAGATGTATATGCATGTATAGAATGAGTATAAACATACTTGATAGAGACCACCACAACCCCACTCTCCCGAGATATCTTCCTTATAAGTGGATCATAACTGTCTGAAACAAATCAAACATTCTAAATTATTCTTACAACAATGGTTTAAACATAATTTTGCATATAAATTGTGAAAAATAGAATCAGCAAACACAAGAATTTGAACGAAAAAACAACAACAACAACAAAAAAAAAAAAAAAAAAAAGACCCCCAAAAACACAAAGCGACTTACGGGTGTCGTGTTTTAACAGTAGGATTTAACTCAGTATAGAATTGGAGCAGGACCTCTAGACACTTGCGGGAATCATGATTACAAAATAAACAAATATCTTTTTTTCGCCGATTCTTACATTTTTCATTCATTATCGTATATAAATCGGTGTGAAAAGTCTTAAAGTTCATTCCGTAAGGTGAAAGGGCGATATTTTAGTATTTAACCATTCAAGCGTCTTGACCGGAATATACCGGAAAACGGTATTTAGTGTAGTGCTCCAATCCTTTTTTAGTTTCATTCTTAACAAAAGGGGTATTAAGGTATACTCTCAATTATATGGTGGGGAATATCCACCAAAAGTATATGTATCTTGATGGCATGTTTATATCTGAATGTTACTAATCCATGTGTGTTGATTGCATTTTTATTTATACATATTTGATTTGTCCATCTTCTTTTTACATACAGAAATGCAGAATTCCAAATATTTGTATACCATTGTAAGATTGTTATTCGAATTGAATAGTTATACCGTAAGCAATTGAAGATTGTTTATGCAGAAATAGTATCATTTTTTTTGTGCAAAATGACAAATTATTGTGTAGAAGTAAATATTCGATACAATCATGCTTTATCATAGCGTCAACATATAAGTCGTTTGTCTCTTCATGACGTATGCAAAATGAAAACTGCTTGTATATTTCTTTATTATAAAATATATTCTGTGTGATGAGTAAAATCCATTGCTTACGAATGTTGTTAACTAAAATTTTATAAACCGTTTCCTGTCCTTTTCAGACAATAGAGACAGGTGACTACATTACATGTGTATGTTGGAAATGGCCAATGTTGTCTATCAATTACACTTTATACATTGTATATATCATATATGTCAAATCAGTTTAAACATTTTATGTACATGCTTGGTCCATTTCTTTCATTGAAGAACGATCACTCTAGCCTTGTTCATGAATAACAACGGATCCCAAAAGAATACTCCTCTAAAAGGAAATAAAGGTGGGAGAATCCCGGTATCCGGGAACATTACATAGTAATAAACTAGATTTGTGTTGATTCGTGTCGTAATTAAGGACAAACAAGACTGCATTTGTGAAAATTGCTATGCCACCGCATTAAAACAACACAAAATCTAGGTCAGCTGATATCAAAGTTCAATTTAACATCTCAAACTGTTTACATTGTCCAAATTACATGGCTGTACATCAAAGGACAAAAAAGAAGGTCACTTGTCAAAATCTAGGGTCAATGTGATATCAGCTTTCAATTTTACATCTAAAACTGTGCACATGATCCAAATTTCATAGCTGTACATCAAAGGCACATCATCAAATCTAGGTCAGCTGATATCAAGTTCAATTTTGCATCTTAAATTGTGCACATGGTCCAAATTTCATAGCTGTACATCAAAGGACAAGAAAACAGGTCACTGTGTCCCCTTGGGCATGGCACATTTTGACCCCATGACTTTAGTTTAACCAATATTGATACAGGTCCACCAAACAATGTTTCATGTCAAATATCTAACCTCTTACCGTCCCGCATTCAAAATAACATTTTTCTTAAAAAAAAAATCAATGATACTAACGTTTCAATTTTGACCCCTGGGCTATAATTTGAACAATTTTGGTAGAAGTCTATGACACAATGTTGCATGCCAAATATCAATCCTGTAGCATTCCTCAATTCAGGGAAGAAGATTTTTAAGTTTTTACTATAAATACATAAATGGAAAACCTATTACCCCCGGGGCGGGACCAATTCTGATACTGGGGGCAAAATTTGAACAACTTTGGTACAGGACCTAAAGATGATATTATCAGCTAAATAGCAAAGCTCTAAGTCTTGTACAAGAAAAGTTTTTACTTACAGGGACTGGGTAAATTTTAACCCCAGGACTATAAATTGAACAATCCACATAAAGGTCTACTACACAATGTTTATAGTGCCACATATCTAACCTTTAGATTTATTAAGTTTTTACTATTGGTATATTGATTGAAACTAAAATTGAAATATATTTAGCTATATACATGTATCAACAAACTTAAAATGTGGTGTGTGTGCCGGTAAATTTTCTCGTGCAAACACGACAGGAAATCCAGAAAGTAAACTTAACGTAAAATAATATCTGCACTAAGTATTCAAATTTATTTTAGAAAAAAAACTAAAAGTTACGAAAAATGCAACATCTTATTCTATCAATAAAGTTCTGTCCGTGTAGTTTACGAGAATTAATATGGAGTATACATGTATTTATAAGTTATGCTTTGAAAAGTCACACCAGCGTCGTCACACCCGCAATAGCACATTCAGTTAATTAAGTGATTGTCTAATAGTTGAGATATGAAATGGCCGAGTGCTTGTTAAATTGTCCACACGGATATGACGCAACTTAGAAACACTGTTTTGTTCGATTGTATTGTGTTTTACAGCATTTATATGACATTTATTGATTTTAAATATGATGTGATATTCACCGGTGAATGTCACATTGACCGAAGCGACAACCGAGGTCAATATGACATTTTGCCGGGGAAAATCACATCATATTCAATGGATCATTAGTCAATAACTGTTTTTATCAACAAACTTAAAATGTGGTGTGTGTGTGCCGGTAAATGATCGACTTTAGAGAAAATAATTACACGCACACACACGCACACACACACGCACACGCACGCAACCAAAAGTTACGAAAAATGCACATCACATTCATCAATAAAGTTCTGTCCGTGTAGTTTACGAGAATTAATATGGAGTATACATGTATTTATAAGTTATGCTTTGAAAAGTCACACCAGCGTCGTCACACACGCAATAACACATTCAGTTAATTAAGAGGATTGTCGGATAGTTGAGATATGAAATGGCCGAGTGCTTGTTAAATTGTCCACACGGATATGACGCAACTTAGAAACACTGTTTTGTTCGATTGTATTGTGTTTTACAGTATTTATATGACATTTATTGATTTTAAATATGGTGTGATATTCACCGGTGAATGTCACATTGACCGAAGCGACAACCGAGGTCAATATGACATTTTGCCGGGGAAAATCACATCATATTCAATGGATCATTAGTCAATAACTGTTTTTTAAATGATCGACTTTAGAGAAAATAATAACACGCACACACACACGCACACACACACGCACACGCACGCACGCACCAACGTACACGCACGCACACACGCACGCACACACGCACACGCACGCACACACACACACACACACACACACACAGTAAACCCTTATATCAAAACAAGTTATTAATGTACTAATCATTGCGGTATAACTCAAGGAAGTTACCGGAAATCTACCGAAGATTAATTGTAAGCATTGACCGTATTATCAGTATGCAATTGACTGGTTAATAAAATCAACAATACAAGTATATAGTTCAATCTTTGTCTACTTTGTTTATGAAGTAACAATCTGTTCATATATCTTTACAATTGTGCAATAAACATCAAGTGCTTCCTCACAACCCTCCCCGTCAAGATTCTACTTGTTTGTTTTATAAAATCTCCAGAACAATTGATGTCACCTTACATATGGCGACTTACATGCTGATTCTACCTTCTCTGTCTTGGTAAGTGGTTAACGACAGATTAGATACAATAGCAGTCAGTAGAAACTTACCAACAGACAACATGGTCCAGCCGCCACCATGCATGAAAATAAAGATAGGTCTATCTTGAGATCTGTATGTGGACACCGGCTCATAGAGAATCACCCGTACGCCAGCAATTTGTGTATCGTTGATCTGTAATAGTGCAGTGAAAATTTGTTCAGTTTAAATGCAGAAGACATCTGGAAAGATCCAGGAGAATTTTAGCCAGAGATTTTACGACTCATTTATGGTAGTTTTACACCATAGGAACTCGGGAACGGGACCGCTGATTGCGGCGCATATTCCTAAACATGTAACGGTTTTTAAAATGTTTCTTCTGTATCTAAATATCTTTCCTTACTATCCCAGTGTACGGTCTCAAAGAATAAAATATCAATTTAACACGTTCTTTCAGTTTTAAAATTGGTCAAATCTGACGGTATTATTTTTAAACATACCGTAAAATTTGACCGATTTTTTAATAACAAGAGGACCCAGATGGCCCTAGATCGCTCACCTGACCCATCAAACTCATCCGAGCAATTACTTAGATAAGTATCTTGACCAAGTTTGATGACAACTGAATCAAAAATGTGACCTCTAGAGTGTTAACAAGATTTTTTCCATATTTGGGCGATGTGACCAATTTCAAGGACATTTGGATAACAACAGTAGCATGCACTAGAGAGTGAACAAGATTTTTCTATTTTTAGCTTCTGTGACCTAGTTTTTCATCAGAGATTACCCATGTTTCAACTCCTCTAAGCAATTGACTAGACAAGTATCCTGACTAAGTTTGATGACAATTGAGTCAAAATATGACCATAAGAGTGTTAATATGATGTTTCCATATTTGGGCGGTGTGACCTAGTTTTTGACCCCATGTAACCCATAATCGAGCTTGACCTAAAAATAATCAAAATAACCTTTTTATCAATTTCAAGGATATTTCGATCAAAACTGCAGCCACTAGAGCGTTAACAAGATTTTTCTATTTTTAGCTCCTGTGACCTAGTTTTTAACCCAAGATGTCACATATTCAAATTTGAACTAGAAATCATCAAAACAATGTAACTACTTTAAGCTCCAGTGATCTAGTTTTTGACACGAGATTACCCATATTCGATCTTGACTTAGAAAACATCAAAACAACCTTCCTGGCCACTTTCCAGAATATTTGGATCAAAACAGCATCCACTAGAGTGTTAACAAGATTTTTCTATTTTTAGCTCCTGTGACCTAGTTTTTGACCCGAGATGACCCAAATTCGGAAATGACCTGTATTTGATGGAGACAAACATTCTTACAAAGTTTGATTATGATCCAATCAAAACTGTGACTGCTAGAGTGTTAACAACCAAAAATGTTGACGACGCACGACGACGGACATAGCCCCATCACTATACCTCACCTTGACCACTTCGTGGTCAGATGAGCTAAAAATTTGGATTTTCTTTAATGGCCCTACTACCGGATAAAATGAAAAGATATTAAAAGGTCAGACAAAAATATGTACAAAATCGGACATATGGGCCGCAATCTGCGTCCCCGAGGCTCTATATTTAACACTTAACTTCAGTATACAATTTAAATAAAAGAAGACAAGAATGGTATTAACAATATAGCACTTGAATTTAAGAGATATGGTGACATAGTTATCTGTCTCTTAACCCAGGGTTCATGGGTTCGAGCCTCATATGACACCAGTATTGGTTAAGTTCAAGAGGCAGACTTCGAATTATATACTTGACCTATGTTGTCAATTTTACAGTTCCTTATAGTGCCCATTACGAGGTCATACCTTAAGAATGGATCAAATAAACTTCGATTTAACTGTCGTTTTCGTAGAATATTCTAGTTGTACCTTATATAAAATATGAATTGCACATGGCTATATGCAAGAAAACCAGGTTTCGGCAGAAACGAAACTTTAATGATCAATGCTTCCGAGGGATCACTTTGTTTCCAGATTTTCAAGTAAAAAATGTTTTTATACACCTACCCTCAACGTCTGGTCAGCAGTAAGGGACAGACCCCAAGGCTGTCCTGTCATTTGTGCTAAAATAAACCAGTCAGCAATTTTTCTGTCTAGCGAAGAAAAATAGTCAGTCAATCCTAATTTTACTAAACCATCCATCTGCAATATAGTAATATATTGTACGCAAAAGATATAACATATCAACAATGATTGACAAAAGTTCATGAATAATGTATGCTTGGCAATATTGACCTGAATCATTTGAGCTTTTGTCTAGGCGGGAATGTTTCTTTTCGTATTTTGAAAATAACATTTGCCTTTTTGACAAAACTTCGCCTTCACAAAAGAACAAAACAACAAAAAACACATCAAGCATTTTGAAAAAAGAGCCACTGCCGGGCAGGGACAACGCTCGACTTATTTTACATTTTCTAAAAGCAAACAAATAAACCGTTTAATCTGATCTTCACAGTCAATGTCATTTTAAGGTCATGGACATATATAAGGTATTCAACATGTCCGTTTTGTCACAAGTGATGTTTTCTCTACGTATGAATCAAATCCATTCATTAATAACAAAGTTATGACAACTTAACCAAAATTCAGTAAAATGACCTTGATGGTCAAGGTCATTTAAAGATTAAAGTCAATGCTAGTTCAACATGTTAGAAGGTATTGATCAAAAGGTTGTTAAGTCAAAGCATTAGGTTAATCCACTGATAAATTATCAAGTTAAGGCTAATTATAGCAATAATCAGTGAAAATTCAATGATTTGACCTTCAAGGTCAAGATCATACATGAATCAAGATCAATTAGAGTTTGACACACAAGGTCCTAATCTAAAAGATGCTGTGTCTAAATATGAATTTAGTAACAATGTTATAGCCAAATACACAAAACATTAGAGATTTTCATTAATTTGACCTTGACGGTCAATGTCAATTAAAAGGTCAAGGTCACATCTCAATTATTCAATATGTTGTTGTTTTTTTTTTTGGTAACAGGTTTTCTTTGTCCAAACTAATATAAATGAAAGCCGTACATAAATAACAAAATATGACAATTAAACCAAAATGCAATAAGTTGATATTTACGGTCAATGTCATTTAGAGCTTAAGGTCAAGGTCAGTTCAAATTTTTAGAGGGTCTTGATCAAAAGATTGTTTTATCCAAGTATGAAGATAATTCATCTATTAATTACCAAGTTACAGTCATTTATAGCAAAAATCAGTGGAAGTTCAATAATTTAACTTTCAAGGTCATTATTTAGCCAAGGTCAGTTTGAATAAGATATTCCTGCAGGACTTTTCCTAAAAAATGGTGTTTCTTAACACGATGTTAATCCATTTTTACTAACAAAGTTATAGCCATTTACAGCAAAAAAAAGAAGAAAATTTCAATAATTTGACCTTCAGGATCAACGTCCTTTAAAGTGAAGGTCAAGGTAGGTTTGTCTGATCAACTTTAAGACGTATCCTCAAAGAATAATGTGTTCAAATTTCGAGACAATCCATAAAAAATAACCTAGTAATAGCCACTAATAACAAAAACCACCAAACATCAAGCAAAATTTAGAAACTTGACTCAAAAGGTCAAGGTCTTTTATGAATGAAGGTCAATTTTAGTCTGGTCTACTTGAAGGTATTGTCCATTAGGCTGTTGTGGCCAAGTATGAAGATAATTAAACAAGAACTTAAAAAAAGTTATGATCAGGATTAATGTTTGCGGACGACAACAGGAACACCGCCATGACTGTAACAATACCTCTATTTTTTATTCTATTTTGTTTTCTTCGAAAAAAGTCGAACTAAAACGGCCCAGTCTTTGTGAATGAAATAATTAATTTGTTTGAAAAAATATAATCAAATCAAATCGAAAAAAATAAGTCAACATATACATTATGATCGCACTAAATAGAGGACCTTTAACGTTTCCGTAAAATACTGAATGTAGGCATGAGCAGAGTATTTTATGTACAGTACATATCTATTTTTTCGACTAAAGCCAAAGTCAGTCTTAAATGACTTTCAGTAAAATCTACAGAGAAGAACTGCATATAAGAAGAATTTTTATTGGTCATTTTAAAATTACAAACTGAAATCTGGGAATCTCGTTGGCAATTTTAAAATAAGAATACGGGGGGGGGGGGGCATCGCGTTTCTGAGTCTCGGTAAGTTCATTATTTTTATAAATTTAGGCGAGACACGTTTTTTAAATCTAAACAAGATCTGGCCTATCATATGCACGGTAACTTTCCTCAAATATAAATACTAAGTGTATTGTCCTATGTTTTATGGTTTTCGAGAATATTATTTGAATTGTGTGAAAATTGCAAATGCAGCTTTAGTAATCCACACGAGACGGTATCATTTTGTACCAAAATTAATGAAAATAAGCTTTCTTCCTTCAATAAAAACACAAAACCAACCATAATATTGACATCTTTTATCCTAGAAGTCCAAATAAAACATTTTAAGGAGATAAATGTGTATTTGTAAAGTGTTAAAACAAACTTTAATTCATGATAAAATATTTCCTTTTATTTTCTAAATAACGAATGAATAATCAGTTGTTTTTGTAACATACATGATTATCGGTACATTTTTCTGGAAGCCATTGTGTGAATTATGAGATACATTCCTTAAACTCATCTCCTTCGTTTCCATGTTTAAGCTACAAACAATTTATTTTAGTCCATAAGCTTTTATATTTACATATTTCGTTCTCCGATTTATCAGAAGTAGAAAGGTGTGTAGTTATTGAAATCCAAAAATGACTTGAGACGTTGGGTGGCTGGGAGTATTTAAAATTGTTCACTGCAATAAAGGCATATTGTGTTTTATTTCTTTGTCTGTAAAATAGAGTTGACGGGGTTGAAAGTCAGTTTTAAATTTCTTAAATATACTTAAAGTTACATTTAATAAATTTCATAAAAAAAGAAATAACGACATTTCATTAATAAATTGGGTTTCATATCGAATCCAGATCTTATTTTGGTGTTCAGACAACCAAAATGAGTTTTATTGTCATACAAATGTGCAACCTCATTGTGGCGAATTCGGAAGTACAATATCTGTTTGCATGAGAAACTCCGCCTTCAGATCATCCGTACATCAATGTTAAATCAACAAACATGACTATAAGTAGCAATCCTAATTTAACGGTATATTTCCGCATTGTAACGGATATTTTCATACAAATTTAATCTTTTTTATGAGATGATTATTTTTTCTGAACCCCAGGCCTAGTGCACCGTGAAACTTAAACGGTTAAAGTGTGTTTGCACAAGAAAATCTTATATTTGCTGTGTTCCGGATAGCAACGATAACACCGTGACGTAGCGCATACACGAGCTGATTATAGTCTTCATTTGCATGTTAAAATTCGTATACGAACTTTAGTGTTACCGTGGGGTTTTCCATTTAAAATCCTTATTTATGAACAATATTTGATGATATTTACAACAATACTGTACAAAAAGGTTAATAAAACTGTAGAATGCTTGGTTTTTAGGTCGACGGCAAAAATTATTTTTACATATGTATTTAATGTAACTTTAAAGAAGCATAAAATTGTTCCGACACAATGACAGAATAAGAAAGACGTTTTCTACTTTGAGCAGTAAAATACAAGTGATAATTTAAAATGATTCTAAAACCAATTTTAAAGTTATATATAAAGGGTGTTATATATTTTGTGATGACACAAGCGTCTGCAATTGTAGAAGCAGACTCGACGTTGAGGTCGTTGCGGGTTCTGTAACATGAGCATTTACACAATAAAACAATTCTATGCCTGGCTATGCACAAGGGGAGAAAAACTACAGGTCTATGCTTGACCCTCTTCCCATAAAGGCAGGTGTAGTTCCTCTTCCCTTTGTGCATAACCACGTGATCTTCAAATTGTTTCTTCCGGTGAATGTTAATGTTGCAGGTAACTCTTGTTTATGCTGCCGACCCATGTAAATTCCTGCTGAACCAGCAAGTCGGCCTCAATGGTGAATCTGCTTCCTCAATTGCAGACGAACTGCTTTTCTTCCTTGTGTTTATAACACCTGTAACATCACAAAATAGATACTAGTAGATACTCTACATAGCGCTATAAAACTTATTTTAGAATCATTTTAAGTAATCAGCGGTATTTGACTGCTGTTACTTATAGACAAAACAAGTCAAGTCTATTCTATTCTGTCGTTTTGTCGCCTCTAAAAGGAACAAGTTTACTTTTATTTCGATGGACCATTCATTTTTAAATACCAAACGAATATATAGTTTTGAATATCTGTGTCGGGTTATGTTGGCTTTGCTATTTAACAGTTTCCCGCAGCATTTGCACATGCTTTGCAAATATAATAGAACACCATCCTGAAAACAAAAATATGTTAACTTTATTGAAGGAATTTAAAACTCAATTACAACCTCGCCCACTTCGTTATTTTAAAGAAACAAAAATAAAACACAAATGCCTTCATGGACTGTTATTTGTCAATTTTTCAATACTTCCAGGTACTCAAGTTCGTTAACTTCTGGTCTTTCGGTTTCATTGCAATTTTCATGTATTTTTGTCGCGAGTAATCCTTCCGAAGGACAACTCTTCAAGATTTTTCAAACGTTTCTGTTATACTGTTTTTAATTTTATGAATTTGAAAACAAAATCTAGTTATGAATATAAAAGCTTATGGACTAAGATAAGTTGTTTGTAGCGTTAACTTAAGGTATAAATCTGAGGAATGTATTGCATAATTCACGACAATGGCGTCGATAATTACATATGTTATAAAAACAACAATAAGCATTCCTTATTTCGAAACAAAAGAAAATATTTGATCATGAATTAAAATAATGTTTTAAAATCTTTTTTTTACAAATACACATGTTAATTTTCATGAAAATGAAATGTATGGAAATGTATTTAAAAGTAAAATATTGTGAGGTGAAAAAATAAAGTAATTTACATGTTGCAATCGGCACTTACAATCGAAGAAAATAACCAAAAAATCGACATTTGCAAAATAGAAATATGGTAATAAAATGCTGTACATAAAATCATTCTTTAACCGCACATAACATGAAAAATATAACTTGGATCTTAAATGTTTTTACCTTTCTTAAAATTTTAGTACACTTTTCTCAATATTGATTTTCTTGATATTTCAGCT